AGATGGAGAGAAGAAGAGAGGAGAGAGAGAAGAGAGAAGTGAAGAGAGAGGAGAAGGAGAAGAGAGGATGAGAGAGAGATGACGGGGCAGGAGAGAGAAGAGGGAGAGGAGAGAGAGAGAGAGGGAGAGAGAGAGAGAGAGAAGAGGATGAGAGAGGGAAGAGAGAGAGGGCGAGAGAGGGAGAGAGGGAGAGAAGAGACGAGAGAGAGGATGAGAGAGAGAGAGAGAGAGAGAGGAAGAGAGAGAGAGAGAGAGGAGAACGAGAGAGAGAGAGAGAGATGAGAGACGAGAGGAGAGATAGAGAGAGAGAGAGAGGCCTGAGAGAGGAGACTAGAGCGAAGCGATTCTCCTCCGTGCCTAATTCCTGCCTGATTAGCGCGCGCGTAATGAGGCAAAATGAGCGTTTGACGAAATGAAAAAGACGAAGGAGTGCAAATAGGGAATGAGATGACGTGACGTCGACATAAGGAAAGACTGAGTTTCGAGCATCTTGAAGTTTCCTTCTCGGCGAGCCGCCACCTCGGGGCTGGTTTGGCCGCGAGATGGCTTTCGGTAGACAAACGCTGCTTGCGTGTGTTTGTGCTCGCATGAGTGTATACAAACGCAAATACACATGTATCTGTATACGCGACTGCACGCCCAGCCACGCAGGTGAGAGGCCGCCCGCGGGAGGCGTCGAAGGTGAAACTGTAGCCCCCCCCCCCCACCACCAGCTGCCCAGGTGCGTCATCTCACTCGGTGCGGGCGTGGCAGACCGTGCCAGCCACCCCCCCTCCCCCACCCCCGCATTCCTTGTAACGAGGCAGTGAACAACATCCATTGCTCTTCGGGGCCTCCGGGGTACGGGCACCTGCGGCGCAGAGTGGGCGCAGAGTGGGCACAGAGTGGGCGCAGAGTGGGCACAGAGTGGGCGCAGAGTGGGCAGAGTGGGCGCAGAGTGGCGAGTGGGCGCAAGAGTGGGCACAGAGTGGGCGCAGAGTGGGCAGCGCAGAGTGGCGCACGTGGGCGCGCCGACGCTTTCTTTATCTCTCGCTAATTGCTCTCATGAGCGAGTGCGCCCCAGTCCCTTGGCTCTGGCCGCCTCGGGTCAGTGAGAAATGATATTAATAATAATAATAATGATAGCAATATTCCTTAT